CACCTTCTCACAGCCCGGGCTGCCCCCTGCGTATGCTACAATTCGTGGCTTTATGGTTCAAGTTTTCAAAAAAGATGTTAGAGCCAAGTTTTGCCACTGCCCCACAAGTGCTCAGAAAGGAGAAAATTAAAGTTCTGGAGTCCATGGAAAATCTTTACTCTCCTTACACTCACTGCATATTGTACTTTAAAGAGAAAATGGTTGAGGTGGTCACTGTCTCTACCTAGAACTCAAATTAAGCAGACAAGAATTCCCAGTGCACAGAATCTCAGGCTTCGATTTTCTGATGCGTGTTGGGTATTAACAAAGAGAAAGGGGCTGAGGAGGCGGCTGACAGAGGACAACACACTTCTCACGTGCCAGGCGCGGGGCTCAATCTCCAACACCAGAACTATCCAGAAAGAAGTTTATTATGTTTAATGGCAAATTAAAATTTATGCCTCTTAAACTGCATCTCTGGATGCGTAGGTCAGTGGCAGAGCCAATGTTTAGAATGCTTGAGGCGCTGGATTTTTTTTTTTTTTTTCCTGGTACCAGGGATCGAACTTCAGTCCTTGCACTTGCGAAGCAGGCGCCAGGACCACTGAGCTAAATCCCCAGCCCGAGGCCCTGGGTTTAATACCCAGCACCAAAAAAGATGCATCTCAATGTCACAGATGTTAAAAAAGCATTTTAAAAAATCTGTCTAGCTGGGGATTTAGCTCAGTGGCACCAGACCTGCCTTCACAAGCACAAGGTCCCGCGTTGATCCCTGGTACTGGAAAAAAGTCTTAAGCCAAGAGTGGTGGCACCTGGAAGGCTGTAATCCCACTCATTTGGGAGGCTCAGGCAGGAGTATCAAAATCTGAGGTCAGTTTGGCCAATTTAGCAAGACTCTGCCTGAAATTTTTTTCTTAAAATGCTTAAAAAGGGATGGGAATATCGCTCAGGACTGCTTGGATTCAGCCTTCAGTACCAAAAATATCCATCCATGTGTGGATTAGTGTGTGACCCCCAGCAACTAACAGCAAAACAAAAAAGAGAAAAATATGAGTGGATGAAAATACCCAGAATGAAAGCACAGCGGGACATCTCTGCCTTCCCTTTGGTAACAAGCACCTTACACATTTAGGTAGCATGTGAAGTATGGTGAAGACTAATTACTTAGTTCTATAAGGCATCCACTTGCTTAAATTTTTTCATTTTGGTACTGGGATCAAACTCAGGACCTTGTGCTTGCCAGGCAGGCGCAGTGCCTCTGAGCTAATCCCCGGCCTGACTTGTTAGAATTTCTACCACCACCATCAGCACCTTGCCGCTTCCAGTCACATGTGGGGGGTCAAGAGCAGATGTCACCGGGGACTTAGATCAGCGGTGCCACCACCTGCCTCACAAGTGCAAGGTCCCGAGTTCCATCCCTGGTACCAAAAACAAAAACAAAAAAAAAACAAACCATCGAGCAGATGTCACCAAACTTGCCCCTTGCGACCTGAGGTTGGACAGTCACCTTTGCTGTTTGCTCAGCTTCATTTTGTAAGCGAACGGCCCTTTCCCTGGTGCGTGTGTAGCCAGCTATTGGCATTTCCGTCTAGTAGCCCCCAGGCGTAGTGCTGCTGAGGCCCCTGGTTCAAGGCTATGCTGTGCCTCAGCTAACTGGAGGACCAGATAAGCCCTGCTCATGCTGGCCAAGTGCAATGCGGGTGAGCCAACAGCACTTCAGGAAGGTTCTCTTAACCAGAAACAAAAGGGAGGTGACCAGAGGCTTGCAGGAACCTAACCTCAGGAGCAGGGCTCAGCATTCACAGAACATCAGAACTCTCACTGCTGCGGACACTGAGAAACAACTGCATTCCACCAGTTCGGCGATGGTGGGCCTTTTAGAATGCTCAGGGATACAAATAGCCTTGAACCACTGAGCTCAATCCCCGGCCCTGCACATCAATTTTTATTTCAGGTTTTCCTTTTAGTCTAGAAGCTCCAGGAGGGCAGAAGCCAACTGTATTTTGTTTTGAGACGGCGTCTCACTGTGTAGCCGGGGTGGCCTTGAACTTGAGGAGCTCTTCTTGCCTCAGCTTCCCGAGTGCTGGGGTTGCAGCTGTGTCTTCAAACCTCTTCACACAGCTGCAGTCCCTGGCCTTCAGCTTGGATCACAAAACAGCAGGAGCAATACCAGATCAGAGCATGGGACAGTCAAATGTGAAGCAGTTATTTATTCCGCCAGCTCTTAATTTACAAGAGAAAAACTCCATGTGGCTGGACTTTTTTGGTACCAGGGATGGAACTCGGGTGCTTGTGCTTGTGAGGCAGGTGGAGGATAAATTCCTGGCCCTCGGCTGGAGTTTATTAGGCTAGTTCAATTTTATTAGCTGTGCCCTAGCTTGGTGCTAGGACCTCTTGCAGATACTAAGACCTGTGGATATTTGCAAATAACCTGTACATATCCTTTGGTTTTGAGACAGGATCTTGCTAGGTAGCCCAGAATGGAATCAAACTAGCATCTCAACTAGCACCTGAGCCTCCTGAGTGTGGGACCCAGGAGTGCACCAACGTGTCCAGACAGACACCTTTTTTTCTGTATATTGGGGATTGAAGCCATAAAAGCATGTGGTCCACCACTGAGCTATACCCCTAGCCCCTTCTCATACATATATAATTTTTTTTCCTGAGTTTATTGGTAGTTTAGGTATACAGTACAGTTACATTCATCACTGGGATCTTGTACCTTTACATGACAGGTCTTGGTTCTCATTTTTTCCCCTTACCCCTTGCCCTCCCTTCATCTCATATATATTTTTTGAGACAGAGTCTCAATATGTATTCCAGGCTGCTCAAAACTGGGAATGAACCCACCTATCTCAGCCTCCAGAGTGCTGGGACTGCAGTTGTGTTTAGCACCCAGCCGCCCTCCAGGATACTTATACCTACACAATGTATGTGATATGCACAGTACAAAATTACTTCCTGTGCCACACTGTTTAGGGGATAAAGAAAAACTATCTGGACATATTCAGGATGTTGTTTTTTTCAAACTCAAGCTTTTGTGTGTGAACAGATGGCTTTGCACTTAATGAAAGCTCTACCGAGTTAAATTTTTTAAAAAATTTCTTTCTTAAACTGAGTTAGGATCTAAGTTGCCTGGGTTGCTGAGTAGCTAGGATTGCAGGTGTACACTGCCATGACCAGCTTTTTTACAACTTCTGATTCCGGATTTACTGAATTTCTGGACATGGATCCCATGGGGAGCTGATGGTATTATCAAAGATACTCACACAAAGCGGTCTCCAGCATAATGGACCTCACACATTTCCCATGTTGGATCAAGAATTTGTGATAAAGCTGTCTGACCACAGCTAAAATCGTGTAACTTTATAAAAAATAAACGAGGTGGGTCAAAGGTGCGCGCCATTTCACCCAGCTTTTTATGAACTTCTTAAATACACACACACACACACACACACACAGGTTCACATTATCTCTCAATTGACACAACCTTGTTCAAGGTTTTGGTTGTTTCTTTCGGCGGCCAGAACTTGAAGCACACTAGGCAAATGCTCTACCATACCACTGAGCTTTCTCTCCAGCACTATCAAACGTCTCTCAAAATTAACAATTTATCCAGAAAACTTCTTTAGCATTAGAAGCCATATGCATATCAAAAACTATGAAAAGAGATCAGGCCCCTCTCATTTTCAAAGTTACTCTTCCTCAGCATGTTATTAGTAGTAAGCGTGACAAGGAATTATAAATATTGAGGCATGTTTTCCTCAAATTTAACCAATTAAAATATTTTTTAAAAACTTGGGGGCCGGGGATTTAGCTCATGGGTGCCACACCTGCCTCACAAATGTAAGGTCCTGAGTTGATCTCAGGTACAAAGAAAAGAAAGTTTGGCCTGGCAAGTGTGGTGCTACACGCCCAAAGCCCCAGAATGTGGAGGGCTGATGCAGAGATACAAAGTTCAAGGCCAGCCCCAACTATATAACAAGACTCTGTCTCAAAAAAACAGATAAAGAACTATTTGCTGGGGGCTGGAGATGTAGCTCAGCTCAGGCACAATACCTGCCTGGCAAGCTTGAGGCCCCGAGTTCAAGTTCCAGTATCAAAAAAGGAAAAAAAAAATGGTTTTGCTATCAAATAGAGTATTTCCCTTTTGTTCTTTTTTATAGCAAAACATTTATTGGTACATTTTAAACATACATGATAACACTCATTATAAGGAATGTGCACCTCCCTTTTGTTCTTAAAGAACTCTTTACACTAGTATCTGAGGGACCACGGACAGGCGCATCCCACACAGGCTTCCACACTGCTCACAAATGACAATCGAGCGAGTCATCCAAGTCTCAATTCAGGAGAATAGAAAACTGCATTTTATTGAGAACCCATTAAAAAAAGTGAAACAAACAAACATTAACTGACAATAAAATCACTGGTTTCTGACTCAGCAGATAACTATCAACCTGTAACACACACCGATGTTTCTGAGTTAACCCGAGGAGAGGAGAGTCAATTTAGACCTAACCCCATAAAGGACATTGATTTCGGAAACACCAGAACTCATTTCATCTGTGGCCAGGTCCCACACAGTGGAATCAGAGCAACCAATGAAATGTTATGCAGTGCACGTGAAATAAAAAGGTGTATATTTCACGTATAATCACTATGAAAGAAAAATCTCAGTTTATTAAGAAAAAAACAAAAAACAAAAAAGACCAAGCTGGCTGTGGCGCTGCACACCTGTAAGCCTACCACTCTGGGAAACTGAGACATGAGAATCCTCAGTTTGAGCCCAGCCTGAGCAATTTAGCAACTTAGCAAGACTCAGTCTTAAAAGAAAAAAAAAAAAAAAAAAAATCAAAAAGGGCTGAGCTCAGTATGAAGGCCCTGGGTTCCATCCCCAGTAAACCCCATCCCCAAAATAAGCTGGGCATTGGTGGCACGTGCCTGTAATCTCATGACTTGAGAGGTTGAGGCAGGAGGTTCGCCACAGGTCTGAGGCCAGCCTGGGCTACACAAGTGCAAGCCCAAGCTGAACTGCATAGCGAGACCCTGTCTGAAAAAGAAAACCAAAAAGAAAAAAAAAGGGGAGCTGATTTGCTTTCACTGTGTTAATTTCACACACATAGCAAACTACTAAAACTTGAACTTGGTAACAGTGAACAGACAATGCTGTCCCACATTTATCTTTATTAAAAACTGACAAACAAAACCTGTACAAAAAATATCCCAAATCACTTCCGCACCCGTCCCTGGGAGAGGCTTATCGCCGAGGGCCCCCTCTTCCTCTGCCACGGCCACGTCCTCGTCCTCGGCCCCGGCCCCGGCCTCTTCCGGCAACTGAGGGAGAGAGAGAAAGACAAACAAGTGGAATTCTCCTCTGCACTAACATCACTTGCCCACTTATGAGCAGCCCTTCCCTCCCATCACATAGCTTTTGTTTTGTGAGATAAGGTCTCTATGTAGCCCAGGCTGGCCTCGAACCTGTGATCTTCTGCATCAGCCACGTAAGTACTGGCATGCGCCACCACACCTGGCTACATGTAGTATTTTGAATAGTGGATTAGGGCTTAAATACACCATATATAAAAATTCATAACCCTTCAAACTTACCAGCCTCCCTCTTCTTAGATTTCACCTTAGGTTCAACATCCACAAGTAGCGTGTCCAGAGGCAAGCTGTCTGGCAGGATAAAGTAGCGAATGTTATTTCCGCGAATGCTCAAGGTTTCCAGCTGCACCGGCTCTCTGTTCTTCAGGGTCATCTTCACCGCTTTCAGATGTGTGTTCATGCTGACATCTACGCCTACAGAGGAAGGAGCAGAGCAACTGTCAGCTTAGCCCCAGTGAAGCCCCGAGGTCAGCGCACTGATCGCCAGGGCTCAGCTGCTGAGCAGTGCATGGGAAGAGCAGACTCCCGTCTTTCCTTCACACAGTGGGGACGCTGGCATGGGCACAGGAGGCCGGCCCTGGGACCCCGGGCCTCCGCGTCCTTCCTGCCCCAGGGTGCACAAGGTGCTCACTGTAGTTCTCCCCATCTCTGCGCCTCCTCACGCCACATCCCACCTTTGTGAGTCAGGCTCACCTTTATTTTTAAAGTCAAGGTCAGAAAACAGGAATTCTCTAAACTTTCCCAAAACCTACCCCAAAATTTTCAGTGTTACTAATTCTTTCCTCCTTTGTCCCAGTCAGAAGGTCCTTTCCTGAATTAATATTCTCTTTGCTGGGTGGAGAAGATAGCAATGAGCAAAGAAGAAACTAGAAGGCTCTGAGGTACCACAATCCATCACCGCCAACAGCACCACAGGCCAAGCCTGGAGCCTTTACCACATGGGTCTTGGGGGACATTCAGACCCAAACTGAAACGGTAGCTATGTGTGGCTTGTTCAAGTTGAGACAATGCTTTCAATTACTTTAGTAAGTACCCAGGGTACTCAAGCTATAGAATTTGCTTTAGGGAAGCAGCCTAGCTTTAGTTGAAAGTATTACTCCTAAGGCTCCGAACTGGATAGGGCTGTCTGCATGATCCACACCTCTCCTACTTGCTCACAAACAAAAGCATTTGGCAAGATTCTGTTTTTGTTTGCAAACGCTACAGCCATCTTCCAAAATCATGGAACAAATTAAGTTTGTGAAACCAGCACCACTGTACTTTGGGAAGCTGAGGTAAAAGAATCTCAAATTCAAGCCCAGTCCGGGCAACTTAGTAACTTAATGAGACCATCTCAAAATTTTAAAAAGGGGCTGGGAAATGTAGCTCAGGGTGAAGGCCTTGGGTCCAACCCTTAACATCCCTAAATAAATAAATAAAACCACACACAAAAATTTCTTTGCTGTGTTCCACCTCCTTGGGGCAGGGCATTTATACTCCTAGGATCCAGGACTGTGCAGTGAGCCATCATAATACCCTCCCTCTCCCTGTGGGAGATGGCATGCTATCACGCTGAGAATGTATCCATATTTCTCTGTTCACACAGGACTCAAAAAACTAGTCAACAGTGGTTGTTAAGTGGGTAGAGAATCATCCTGGCACTTTGGAAAGCTGAGGCAGGCGGATCACAAGTTCAACCCTAGCCTGGGCAACTTACTAAATTAGTAAGACTGTGTCTCAAGATTAAAAATTTAACCAGATGTGAAAAAAAAATTAGCCAGGTATTGCAGCACACACCTGTAATCCTAGCACTCAGGAGGCTGAGGCAGGAGGAATACCCCAAGATAAGAGGCCAGCCTATGTTACATAATGAGTTCAAGGGTGGCCTGGACTGCATAGCCAGATCCTGCCTCAAAAAGCCAAAATAGCACTGCCACCTGCCTCACAAATGGAAAGTTCCAAGTTTGATCCCTGGTACAAAAGCAAACAAAACAGAACAAAACAAAGCAAAACAAAAACACCTTTAAAAAGCCAAAGTAAAATAAAATGGGTAGGTTATGCAGCTTAGTTGGCCCTGGTTTAACTCCCATTACCGAAACCAAACAAAAAGCCAAGAACAACCCCTGGCTCCTTAACACCTAAAAACAGTGCTCTGGAGAAAGCAGACTGGGTCAGTATGTGGGGGACTGCAACAGGGCAGTCACCTTCCTAGGGCACAGTCAGTATGCTCACAGATCTCATCGCCTTCACTTCACAGTAGCCGGGGCTGTAAAGTCCCAGTACATCCACCAACAGTGTGAGCTTAATTCTGTATGCTTCTCTTGATTTACTCAGAAGGTGATCTATGCGTCAAAACTTACTTAGAAATTTATAATTTCAATGCTTCGAGAATGGAACATATGCTAAGATAGCATTTTCTTTCATTTGGTCTGTCGGTTCTTTTGAAATTTCGCAATTTTTTTGCAATACCAACTATGAGCAATGAAAACACTTCAAACCCTTTTATCAACAGTATTTCCTCAGTGAGGTGAAATTACTGTTCCCTGACCTCCCCCTCATTTCCCACATATTTTTTACCCAGCACAGTAAGTTACAGTCTAACTGGGAAGGGAACATTCTAATCTAAGCACAATGTGTCCAAGGCAGAAGCAGCAGCATTCTACACAGAGGAGCACACAAGTAAAGGCCTAAGCAACAGGACACACTGTGAACTGTCAGTGTGGTTACAGACTAAGGAGGTTTAAGGAAGTCCAATTAATTCAGACAAAAAAAAAAGAGGATAACAGACCACGGATTTAGTTCAGTGGTGCTGCTGCCTGCCTCACAAGCCCAAGATCCTGAGTTCGATCTCTGGTACAAAAACAACAACAACAACAACAACAACAAAAAGATCAACACTACAATAAGAAACCAAAAAGAACTTCTGGTCCTAAGATGGAAGAGACGAGGAAACAAAAACCCAAACAAAATAACACTTGATCTTTGCCAAAAGGCTGAGAAGCAATGTGTTATAAAAACAGCTCAACCTGCATACCTGTGATTGTTCCATGGACCTGTGTTCCATTCTTCAATTCAATGGTGACAGTTTCATGACTCAATTTCATCAAAAATCTATAAAAATAGGAATAAAACCATGATTTCTCACTTTTAACACCTCCAATTCATATTCATTTAGTCGAAAAGGTGGTTACTAGAGGTTGAAAATCTGTTAAAATGTTATCCACATGAATTCCTATTAATCTGCATAACATTTTCAGCTTTCCGTGAAACTACACCCTCAATGGTCATAAAAGAGTATAATGCTAGCATTCTAAACAGACATTTGGGAGTTTGATTCTCTAAACCATTATACACTTTAACCTCAAATGAAAACACAGAAGTCCAATTACAAGCTATACAGAATACATACATAATTTTAACTGGTAGGACAAGAGGCTTATTGTCTGTGTAGAAATAAAGAACCTCCTCACCTGCCTCTCTGTATTTTTCTAGATTTTAAGCATATACCTAAGATTTGTCTTTAAATAAACTAGGTCATTAATGATTTTTATAACTGCAGTTCCCAGTCAGCAGTTTTGGTCAACATACATGAAGAGGTCAACAATATTCTACTAGGCCGGGCATGGTGGCGCACACCTGTAGTCCCAGCACTTGGGAGGTTGAGGCAGGAAGATCGCTGAGTTTGAGACCAGCCTGGGCTACACAGCGAGTTCCAGGTCAGTCTCAATTATATAGTGAGACCCTGTCTCAAAAAACAAACAAACAAACAGACAAACAATATTCCACTATATGGAAGTGTCATCATTTATTATGGCTCTACAGATGAACCTGTTTCTTTTTTCACTTTTACAAATCCACTATGCAGTCCTCACCAGCACCAGTTAATAGCCTTCCACATTTCTGTCCTCCATGTAGTAGAGGAGAGGTTGCTCTGCTTTCCCCTGGTTACTTGCGGGGCAGCCCCTGAGTATGGGAAGGTGCAGTCCATGAGCTGCTCCTGTGCGTGTGGGTTGTCTGGGAAGGAGCTCCATGGTAGAGCGCTTGCCTGCCAAGTGTGCAGCCCCGGGCTCGATCCAGCACTGTTTTCCTTTGTATTTTTTACCAGTCCGCTATTCATTCAGGTTGCGCTTTTTCATGTCTTGCTATGTTGCCAAGCCTGCTCTAAACTCCTGGGCTCAAATGATTCTCCAGCTTCAAAAGCAGGAACATTCAACCACACGTGTTTTTTTCTGCCCCTTCCGTTTTTATCTTGTTACATTTATCAGTTCGTCTTGGGTACGGGCATTGCTTAGAATATCATCCATGCCAAGATTGAAAAAACAGGCTCTCATTTCTGTTTATAGAGTTTTAATCTACCTAGAATTCATTTCCTTTTTCTTTTTTTCTTTTTTTTGGTACCAGAGATCCAGCTCAGGACCTTGCACTTGCCAGGCAGGCACTGTGCCGCTGGGCTACGTCCCCAGCCCTAGGATTCGTCTCTTTTTCTGTGTCGCGTGAGGTATGAGCCGCCTTTGGTCTTCCCCTGCCTGAACAGCCAGGTGTCCCCATCCCCACGACGATCAATCCTTCTGCTCCTCTGGTTGTTCCTCTCGCTGGCCTCAAACTCTCAGCAATCCTCCGCCTCCACCTCCCAAGTGTGGGGATGACAGGTTTGAGCACCTATAGCGAGCTTTTTTTTTAACCTTTCTGAGACAGGGCCTCCCTAGGTATCCCAGGCTGGCCTTGAATTCGAGTCAATCCTCCTGTTTCAGCCTCCTGAGTACTGGATTACAGGCATGCACCACCCTGCCCCAACTATAGCCAGCTCTTGCATATTTTCATTTTGTCATTTGAAAACAAGCTACATGTGCTCACTTCAGCAGCACATATATTGAAAATAAGCTACATGTATGATGATATTTCAATATATTATATTTCCTAATGAGAACACTCTCAAGAAAATAAACAATAAGTTGGAAACTGGATAAAGATGTGGTTTTTCTATAAAATGGAATACTACTCAGCCATAAAGAATGAGAAAGTAGATTCATTCATAGGCAAATGGGTACATTTTGAGGACATACTCCTAAGTGAAATAAATAAGCCACACATATGCAAATACCGAATTACAAGGGGAAAAAATGAGAACCAAGACTTGGCGTGAAAAGGTACAAGATCCCAGTAATGAATGCAACTGTACTGTCTACCTAGAATATACCAATAAATTCAATTTAAAATAAAAAAATAAAAAATTGTAAAAAAACACAATAATCCTAAAGTATCACCTAATATACAGTTCATACTCATATTTTTTGGGGGGAGGAAGGTCTCACTACGTACTTCAGGCTGGCCATGAACTCTCTACGTAGCCCAAGATCCCAGTAATGAATGCAACTGTACTGTCTACCTAGAATATACCAATAAATTCAATTTAAAATAAAAAAATAAAAAATTGTAAAAAAACACAATAATCCTAAAGTATCACCTAATATACAGTTCATACTCATATTTTTTGGGGGGAGGAAGGTCTCACTACGTACTTCAGGCTGGCCATGAACTCTCTACGTAGCCCAGGCTGGCCTCAAACTTGTGGCGATCCTCCTGCCTCAGCCTCTCAAGTGTTAGGATTATGGGCATGGGCCACAAAGCCCAGCAGCTCATCCTCTGTGGCACACACCTTGTAGGACCATCACAACACCCCCCACACTAACTGGCCCATGGAGCCCTAACCTAGTCAACTCCCCCACAAGGCTACTGGTGAAGGTAGGGATCCTGACCTCTCTGGGTAATCTTGGGTGTGTGGAACTAGGGATCGTTGTGACTCAGAACCGTGCACTTGTCAGGCAGGTGTGGCGCCACTGAGCTAAATCTCTGGCCTACTGGGTAATCCTGGATTTGAACAGACATCCAGCTCAATGTTTTCACGATTAAAAGGAAGCCAACCTTAAGATGCTACATTTTTAGTGGTACAGACACCACAACAATGGTGGGAATTACTTGGTATTGGATTTAACAGACTTTTAAAAGGTCGTCTGTCCTAGCCAGATGTGGTGGTGTTTATGACTCCAGCTGTAGGAGGCTGAGGCAGAAGAATAAATTAAAGGGCATCCTGGGCAACTGTGCAAGTCTTGCCTCGATAAAGCAGCAACAAAAAGGGCTGTCCAGCCTGAGTGAGGTCCTGGCTTGTTCCTCAGGGCCTGGGGGTGGGGTCATACTAACACAAACATTCATGTGCTGAACGCCTTTTCAAAAAAAATAAAGATTCTTTCAACAAACTGTTAATGCTGATTAACAAGATTCAATTCGGCTCCAAATTTATTAGTAAGTTATGAGCCCAAATTTCAATCTACTGATTTCCTCCCATTATTGAGTTTCTATTTTTATTGTAATTGTCCCACTCAGTAGTAACTTTTACTATGAAAGTTCTTCAAATCAGCAAAGCACACTGGTGCACACTTATAATCCTAGCACTTTGGGAGGCTGAGGCAGGAGGTCTGCAAGTTCGAGACCAGCCTGGGCTACACAGTGAGTTCCAGAGCAGTCTGAACTACATAGTGAGACCCTGTCTCAAACAAACAAACAATGGATGCTATAAGAAATCAACCAATAACAAATGCTGGAGGGGCTGTGGGGAAAAGGAACTGTTCACTCTCCACTGTTGGTGGGAGTGTAAACTGGTGAAACCACCATGGAAAACAGTGTGTAGATTTCTTAAAAAACTAAAAAAAACAAAACAAACAAAAAAAAACCCCTAAAAGTAGAGGTTCCCTTTGACCAGCTATTCTTTTTGGTATCTTCCTGAAAGAATTAAAAGCATCACACCACAGTGACATATGCACATCCATGTTTATAGCAGCACAGTTTGTAATAGCTAAATCTTAGAAACAGCCCAAATGCCCATCAACTGATGAATGGATAAAGATGTGTGTGTGTTTTTAAAAGAAAATGGAGTACTACTTTGCCATAAAGAAAGATGAGCTTCAGACTTTTATAGTTAAATGGATGGATCTTGAGACCACACTCTTGAGTGAAATAAATCGACAGGTTTAAATACTGCATTGTAGCCGGGCATGGTGGTGCACACCTGTAATCCCAGCACTTGGGAGGCTGAGGCAGGAGGATCACTGTGAGTTCAAGACCAGCATGGGCTACATAGTGAGTTCCAGGTCAGTCTCAACTACATAGTGAGACCCTGTCTCAAAAAACAAAAACAAAAACACAAAAATAAATACTGCATTGTTTCTCTGATATGAGAAACCAAAAGTGGAAATAAGGACCGAAATGTATAACAGATATTGGGAAATGGGAAGAGGAACAAGGGAAGAAAAGAGGAAGGGATAAGAAAAAGTGAAAATAGAAGGAAAAAATGGAAACAGAGCTTTTGTACATAGGGAGGGGAGGGGGTTTAGGGGAAGGGAAATGGGACCAAAGAGATGGGATAAATCATATACAGGAGCAAATTTCCTTTAAATATTACCGTCGTGTATGCCTAAAACGCACCAATAAATGTTTTTTTATTTTATTTGGCACCAGGGATTGAACTCAGGACCTTGCCCTTGCAAGGCAGGCAGCAGAACCATTGAGCTAAATAAATACCTGGCCCACCAATAAATGTTTTACTTAAAAAAAAAAAAAAAAAGACAGTAGTAAGAAAAAGCACAAGGCTGGGATGGGGGTGTGGCACAGTGGTAGAGCACATGCACACACACACACACACACACACACACACACACACACACAAAGAAAAAGCAAAACACAAGGTACAAGTTATTTTAGGTACCACTGATGGAATATTGGCTTGAAAAAAACGAGTAGTGGAAAGGCAGGTCCCTCTCATGAAGACCATTTGGGAGGCAGAGGCAGGAGGATCACAAATTTTAAGCCAGCCTGGGGTATATGAGTTCAAGACCAACTTTAACTACAGAGTGGAGGTCATATTTATATTCTAAAGAGAGCTTAGGGAAGATACTCAAAATGATTAATTTCAGGGCCAGGGATTTAGCTCAGTGGTGCTGCAGACTGCCTCATAAGCACATTTCTTTTTTTTTTTTTTCTTTCCTGGTTCCAAGGACTGAACTCAGGATATACTGAACAATATCTCCAACCCTTTTCTGAGACAGGGTCTCACTAAGTCGCCCAGGCTGTACTCAAACTTGTGATCCTCCTACCTTAGCCCCCCACCCAGAGGGCTGGGATTACAGAATGGGCTATCACATCCAGCTAAAATCTATTTTATAAGACAAATGCACATTCCTGAGGAAGACCAACTAGTCAGCTACAACAATAAAGGTTAACACCACAGTAATCAGTAACAAAGGAACAAAGAGAATGATAAAATAGAACAGCGCCCAGAAATAGGCCACATCAACAGGACAGGTTTCCTACAAAGGTACCAATGCAGTCCAAGGCAAAGGTAAAATTTTTCAACAAATGAGGGCAGTATAACTGGAAATCTATACAGAAAAATGAACCTAGATCCCTACCTCCCACCATTGACCAAAATAAAATTATGACAGACTACAGTCATAACTTATAAGTAAAAAGTATAAAGAACCAGAAAGAAACATAAGAAAATATCTTCATAGTTTGAGAGCAGGCAGACAGAAGTTTCTTGGACAAGAACTATAAAATAAACCTGTGTGCAGTAACAAATACTACTAAGAAATGGGCAATCTAGTCAGGTATGGTGGTGCATGCCTGTAGACCTAGCTCTTTGGGAGGCTGAGGCAGGAATATTGCTGAGTTCCAGGCTAGCCTTAACTGCACAGTAAGATCCGCTCTGCCCAAAAGAAAAAGTAATCTGTAAAACAAGAGAAAATGTATCTGCCAAAGGACTAGCACATGGAGCATATATAGAATTCTTACTCAATAACAAAACACAAGCAGTCAAAATAGGAACATTCAACACCTCGCCTAGAAACAGATTCATGAGAATGATGAACACAATCATTATTAGGAAAATGCAAATTAAACCCAAGGAAATACCACTATATATACACCCACTAACATGCCTAGAATGAAATGCTGGTGAGTATGCAAAGAAATGGGAATTCGAATATATAGATATATTTATTTTTATTTATGGCTTATTTTTATTTTATTTTTTTAAATTCCAGGCTGTACTCAAACTTGTGATCCTCCTACCTTAGCCCCCCACCCAGAGGGCTGGGATTACAGAATGGGCTATCACATCCAGCTAAAATCTATTTTATAAGACAAATGCACATTCCTGAGGAAGACCAACTAGTCAGCTACAACAATAAAGGTTAACACCACAGTAATCAGTAACAAAGGAACAAAGAGAATGATAAAATAGAACAGCGCCCAGAAATAGGCCACATCAACAGGACAGGTTTCCTACAAAGGTACCAATGCAGTCCAAGGCAAAGGTAAAATTTTTCAACAAATGAGGGCAGTATAACTGGAAATCTATACAGAAAAATGAACCTAGATCCCTACCTCCCACCATTGACCAAAATAAAATTATGACAGACTACAGTCATAACTTATAAGTAAAAAGTATAAAGAACCAGAAAGAAACATAAGAAAATATCTTCATAGTTTGAGAGCAGGCAGACAGAAGTTTCTTGGACAAGAACTATAAAATAAACCTGTGTGCAGTAACAAATACTATTAAGAAATGGGCAATCTAGTCAGGTATGGTGGTGCATGCCTGTAGACCTAGCTCTTTGGGAGGCTGAGGCAGGAATATTGCTGAGTTCCAGGCTAGCCTTAACTGCACAGTAAGATCCGCTCTGCCCAAAAGAAAAAGTAATCTGTAAAACAAGAGAAAATGTATCTGCCAAAGGACTAGCACATGGAGCATATACAGAATTCTTACTCAATAACAAAACACAAGCAGTCAAAATAGGAACATTCAACACCTCGCCTAGAAACAGATTCATGAGAATGATGAACACAATCATTATTAGGAAAATGCAAATTAAACCCAAGGAAATACCACTATATATACACCCACTAACATGCCTAGAATGAAATGCTGGTGAGTATGCAAAGAAATGGGAATTCGAATATATAGATATATTTATTTTTATTTATGGCTTATTTTTATTTTATTTTTTTAAATTTTTTGAGACTGGGTCTCACTATGTAGTTGAGACTGACCTGGAACTCATTATGTAGCCCAGGCTGGTCTCGAACTCACAGCGATCCTCCTGCCTCAGCCTCCTGAGGGCTGGGATTACAGGCGTGCGCCACCACGCTCGGCTATATGTATCCTTTTTTACACCATTCAACACAAGGTTCCAAAAGAGCGGGCGTCCTGCCTTTTAAAACGTGCTATTACTACCTGTGTACACAGCATAACAGGTGGGTGCCCAATAACTGTTTAGACGACAGTGACAATCTTTTAGCCAACAGAAAGAAACTAGTTAATATTTCTCGTTGCTGGCTTGGTTATAACCTTCCGCCCCCAAATTCTGGACCTACTCAGGGGAAAACACTAAAATCTATTTATAGAGTTGATAATGAATTACTCAATTCCGTAAACTGGTCTCCAGTAGGCGCAAGTAACCCACGTAGTCACAGAAAGAAATAAAACGTGAGATATAGTTATCATCCATGCAATCGACCGCAACTAAAGGGCGTGATGCCTTCTGCTGCACAGTGGGGGATTTTCACAAAATCAAAAGCCAGCTTTCATGGGAACTGTAGGTGAAATAGTCAAGTCTAGGAAGCACCCCTCCCAAAGAAACCTAACTAAACCCCCACAAGTTTGTGGATTAGTTCCTCTTCAACTTAAAAAACTGTGCAAGCAGGTTCCGTTACTGGCAGCTTTTAAGTTTTCCAATGAGTCTAGAGCCGCTCTCCCGTGAAGGGATAGAAAGCGAACTCCTACGGGGCGATGCAGCTGGAGGGCCTTTCGTGGCGAGGCGGGAAGCAACGGCTGGGCCTCCACTTCCCCGTTCTGGACCGATGCGGCCCAGCCCGGAACTCGGGCGCAGCCACGAAGGGCACGGGAGCGGCGG